TAGCGTCGACAAGCGTTTATTTATAAATGCGACAGTCTTCTTCTTCTCCAGTTTCTGATACACAAAACCCAATTTTTTTTAAGTTTGTTCGCTCGTGGCCGTCCGATTTCACTCCGCCGCTTTTATCAGTCTTATCACTCTCTCTCGCTCTCGATTTCATTCCATCTCATCCGATTTCACTCCCTATATTGAAATGGTATGTGTATTTTTTTCTCCCTTTTCTTATGTGTATTATGTTTAGATGTGTATTAGGTTTAGAAAGAAGTGTTAGATATGTATGAAATAGAATTGTAGGAAAGAGAATTTAGGTTTGCTATAGTGTATCAAATTGTTTTAGAAGTTAAATTTTTGGATATATAGAAAATAAAAATAATTTTGATTTAAAATTTATGAAATTATTTGTCAAGTTTCAGATTTATATTTTATTAAATTATTTTACAAGTTATTTATGGAAAGTAAAATAAAAATGAATTTATGANTTTATCTTTTTTAAAANTTATTGTACANNTTATTTATGGAAAATATAAAATTACTTTACAAGTTAAATTTATGTGTTTGTAAGAGTAATTTATATATAAAATTTATGATTTGGTCTATCAAATTATTTTACAAGTTTAGGATTGATTTTTTTAATAAATTTTTGTTAAAAAAACAAATTTATGAATTTATTTTTTACGTATTTTAATTTAATAAATTCGTTTTTATTTCACCATTTATGTTTACAAATAATTATTAGAATTTTTTAAAAATAAAAACAAATATTTCGTGTTTTAGATTTTTTTAGATTTATAATGTATTTAGTTATTGTAATCTTATTTAATATTTATACTTCACATTGTTTAGTTTAATAAATTCGTTTTGATTTTATAGGTGGGTCCACCTTTATACTGAGAGTTATACGGCAAGGATTCTACAATTCTCGGATCCGTAGGTGGTCGTCGCGGATCGGGATCAGGATCGGGGTCGGATTCGCAATCTGCTGGGAACTATCATCCTGGGCTCCACTACGAGCTCCAGCACGAGCTCAACCACGAGCTCCGCCACCGCCACCGCCACCAGTTAACCCACAAGCAGATGAAGACGAAGCAGCTCATCCCGATGATGCGGAGCAGGCACCTCCACCGCCAAACCCGCCTCTTATGATGCGGATTGCTGAGCATCTTCGCCAACCTCGTCGTCACGAACGGGTTTCGATGCTCCATCCGCTAAGCCTCCCAACACTTTTTGGTATGTTTAAATTTTTGCAATCTTTCTAATTAATTTATAATTACATGTTTTAAATAACTTATTAACATCGAAGTATTTTGTTTTATAGGTTTACCGATAACTTTGTCTCTCGTTCGGTCACCAAAGTCATCATCGACTATTTCCATATATCGCATGCTAATTGGACGCAGCCGCCGCAATTTGTTCGAGATATTTGGTTTGAGTCATGGGCGGTAAGTCATATTATATTATTTATTTTCATTTATTAAATTATTTGATTTTATAAATATTACTAATATTATTCGTATTTTTGTAGCAAAAGTGGTACTGGGAAGAATTTCGTACTCANGAAGTGCGAGAGGCCTTCGAGAAGAAGGCTAAATTGCGTCTCAACGGCACTGTCAGTAATTGGAAGAAAGCTTGGCGGGAGAAAGGTGATAATGCGATGCCTTTAGGGATGGATCCCGATGTTTGGTTGGGTCTAGTACGGTATTGGGAGGAACCCTCTTCGATAGCTAAATCATCGAAGTGTTATGCATCCCGTTTTATGCCAGTGGCCGAAGGAGATGGACCTTCTAAGCATTGTGCGGGTCAATTATCATACGCCACAATACGATTGGATATGGTATAATTTTAATTAAATTAGTT